GACAAAGTCTCGGACCTCCAGGGGTTGGGACCGGGGGGTCGGCCGAATTCAGGCCGGGGAGGGCTCGCCCGGCCCGGCCGAGCCCACGAGGCCCCCCGGATCCAGTCTCGGACCTCCAGGGGTTGGGACCGGGGGTCGGCCGAATTCAGGCCGGGGAGGGCTCGCCCGGCCCGGCCGCAGCCACCGGAGGCTCCCCCCTGGATCTGACAAAGTCTCGGACCTCCAGGGGTTGGGACCGGGGGGTCGGCCGAATTCAACCCCAAAAGGGCTCTCCCGGCCGGGCCGCAGCCGCCGGAGGCTCCCCCCGTGGATCTGACAAAGTCTGGACCTCCGGGGGGGACCGGGGGTGCCAATCAGGCGGGAGGCGCCTGAGCCCGCTCCGCAGGACTCCTGACCGAGCTCGGACCTCCGTGGGTGGGACCGGGGGTCGGCCGAATTCACACCGAGAAGGGCTCTCCCGGCAGGGCCGCGGCCGCCGGAGGCTCCCCCCCGTGAATTTGACAAAGTGTTGGACCTCCGGGAGGGGGACCGGGCGGTGAGCAAAATGTGTCCGGGAAAGGGCCACTTTAGCCCTGCCTTAATCGGCGCAGCGACCCGCTGTCCCATACGACCGAGCCTTGGACCTCCGTGGGGGCGGTGGGACCGGGGGGTCGGCCGAATTCACACCGAGAAGGGCTCTCCCGGCCGGGCCGCGGCCGCCGGAGGCTCCCCCCCGTGAATTTGACAAAGTGTTGGACCTCCGGGAGGGGGACCGGGCGGTGCGCAAAATGTGTCCGGGAAAGGGCCACTTTAGCCCTGCCTTAATCGGCGCAGCGACCCGCTGTCCCACGCGACCGAGCCTCGGACCTCCGTGGGGGCGGGGGGGACCGGGATTTGGGCCGAAATACCCCCTGGGAGGTACCCTCCCGGCCGTGCCGCAGCCGCCGGAGGCTTCCCCCGTGAATATGACAGAGTGTTGGACCTCCAGGAGGGGGGCCGGGTGGTGAGCAAAATGTGTCCGGGAAAGGGCCACTTTAGCTCGGCCTTGATCGGCGCAGCGACCCGCTCTCCCTTTCACCCTAGCTCAAGGCTAGTGGCAGCTAGCCCATAGTAATCCGGCGATAGGAGCCTACGTTTGGCGTTTTTAGGTACACGAACCGGCGCCCCTGGTAAGGTGACGGGACTTTGGCTCTGCTGAGGAGGGATTTCTCTTTGGGTTCTTTAATTTTTCCTCTTCCTCTCTTCTGCTGCTACTCCTTTCTCATCTCATCATCTCCTCATCCACCGGATCTCCACCGCGGTCTCCGGGCTCTCCATGCCCGGCCACCGGGCTCTCTTCCCCGGGCTCCAGGCTCTCCATCCCCGGCCCTCCGGAGCTCCATGCCCGGCCTCGGGGCTCTCCACGCCCGCCCTCCACACCACTTCCCCGTGCTCCGGGCTGTCCATCCCCGGCCCTCCGGAGCTCCACCCCGGCCTCCGGGCTCTCCACGCCCGCCCTCCACATCACTTCCCCGGGCGCCGGGCTCCGGGCTCTCCACGCCCGCCCTCCACATCACTTCCCCGGGCGCCGGGCTGTCCATCCCCGGCCCCCCGGAGCTCCACCCCGGCCTCCGTGCTCTCCATGCCCGGCCTCCGGGCTCTCTTCCCCGGGCTCGGGGCTCTCCACCCCCGGCCCTCCGGATCTCCACCGCGGTCTCCGTGCTCTCCATGCCCGGCCTCCGCGCTCTCTTCCCGGGGCTCCAGGCTCTCCACGCCCGCCCTCCACCTCTCTTCCCCGCGCTCCGGGCTCTCCATCCCCGGCCCTCCGGAGCTCCACCCCGGCCTCCAGGCTCTCCATGCCCGGCCTCCGCGCTCTCTTCCCGGGGCTCCAGGCTCTCCATGCCCGCCCTCCACATCACTTCCCCGGGCTCCGGGCTCTCCATCCCCGGGCCTCCGGAGCTCCATGCCCGGCCTCCGGGCTCTCCACCCCGGGCCTCCACATCTCTTCCCCGGGCTCCGGGCTCTCCATCCCCGGCCCTCCGGAGCTCCACGCCGGGGCTCCGGGCTCTCCACGCCCGCCCTCCACCTCTCTTCCCCGGGCTCCGGGCTCTCCATCCCCGGCCCTTTCGGAGCTCCACCCCGGCCTCCCTGCTCTCCATGCCCGGCCTCCGGGCTCTCTTCCCCGGGCTCCAGCCTCTTCATACCCGGCCCTCCGGAGCTCCACCCCGGGCTCCGGGCTCTCCATGCCCGGCCTCCGGGCTCTCTTCCCGGGGCTCCAGTCTCTCCACCCCGGCCCTCCGGAGCTCCATGCCCGGGCTCCAGGCTCTCCATCCCCGGCCCCCCACATCACTTCCCCGGGCTCCGGGCTCTCCATCCCCGGCCCTCCACATCTCCTCCCCAGGCTCCAGCCTCTCCATGCCCGGCCCTCCGGAGCTCCATGCCCGGGCTCCAGGCTCTCCATACCCGGCCCTCCGGATCTCCACCCCCGGCCCTCCGGAGCTCCTCCCCGGGCTCCAGACTCTTCATGCCCGCCCTCCACATC